CTCCTAGGCTGGTCCCTTGGACCTGAGGTTAGCCAAGTTTCCATTCTCTACATTGGATCAGCAAATCAGATTCCCATAACACTGGATGATGGAGGAAGGTATCTAATTTACCTTGTAGATACAAATTGCGGAATGTATCAACAGAAGTCACAAATATATTCCTACCTACCAAGGAGCTCCAGTTCCAACAGGATTATGATTGTTGTTTGTCTTTCTAAATGCTCTTTGATAAAAGTACTCACTCTTCCAGCTTTAACTCTGCCCTCCGTATATACACACCACCACAAACGCAGTCACAACAGTGTTAGGAGCAAACAACTTCCTCTCGGCACTACTTGAAATGTAGAAGACCATGACTGTGGATGCCAGAACTCTGTCTTGACCTCACATTTTGGCACATTTTGCTCCAAAATTGCAACCCTTTTCTCTGGATAAGGTATATTCATCCATATCCCTAGATGAGGCATAGTGAACACTGAATTCAGGTCACAGATGCTAGACATTTTTGCTAGAATTTCATTCAAACAGAGTTGTTCTGGTAAACTGCTTATCATAAAAAAGGCAAGGCTCCTTCTGAAAAAGTTGCTGCAGAACCCTTTTTGCCAAAGACAAGAGGTCACCGTGAAATGTAAGCTCTTTTTCATAGTAAAAAAATTTTTTGCTAATGTTCAGTGGGAAAGACTCAGCGATGCCACTCAATCCATCTTCAGAATAACCAGCCAAACAAAACTCGAAGCAAAGGCTAGGCTGTGTCACAATATCAGAATTTTCTGAATGCTATTCTCATTGGTTTGATGAATGGGGAAAGCAGAGGAAATCTCTTTTCCTTTTCGTAGTTCTTTCCCTATGAGGAATAATTTCCCAAAGGAATTATTTAATCATAAATTACGGCTACCAACTCACTGAAGAGGGAAAAGAAACAAGTCAGTAATGAAGAATCAACTTTTTGGTCCCAGCAGGGAACTGAAAGGAACAGCTTTTTTCTATTACTATTTAGCCCATCCTTTGGTGTGATTCATTAGTACTTTCATGGCTCACCAGGATATTTTGGTCAGTATTTTAAGAACAGTCCAATCTGTTTTTATGTTGTTTTCGGAACTCATGCTGCATTTTCTTGCGGTTTCTAGCACTCTCCTAAATGCTGGAGGTGCTTGAGGTTCAAGACTGCACTTAGGGGATAAAAAGGTCACTGAGCCAAAAGAAATAGCTATAGTGAGCTTTTGTTCCCCACCAGAAACCACCTCAAAATTTTCATTAAAACAGAAGTTTGAATTTCTGAGCAGCTGCCAGCTCATGGGTATAAGCAGATTCAGCAGGGCAGGAGTGTTTTGCTAGAGAGGGTCTTGAGAGCTTGTTGTGCTGTGCCATGAACATGGAAAAAGGTCACAAGTGAAGTTTGTGGAAGGGAAACATTGGCAGGCTGGAAGGCTGGTCTGACAAGAGACTGTTTCACTGAAGTGTGATGTGTGCAGAAGAGTCTAGGGGTGGGATAAGGCCACTGTGTTTACTAACTTTGAAGGACTTCTGATTTTTAATTCAGAGGGCTAGAGAATTCTGTCACAACTGGCATATGTCCTGGAAAAAACTTGTCCAACCTGTGTTGATACAAACAGGTCCTGTCCCCAGCCAAAGCAAGTCAGCAAGCAAACAGCACGGGCAAAACAGGAAAGTTTGAGAATGAAGTCAGAGGTAGGGATTGCTGGGAATGGAAAAGCAACAGCTGAGAGGCAAGTAAACTACCTGAAATAAAGTCAAAAGCCTCCATAAGTTGACTATTCTCCCCCAAGCTATCTAAGCATCATATTCAAAGTGTTTCATAATCTTCTGAAACTTGGTGAGTTTGTACCTTGGTTAACAATTTTGACAGCAAATCTCACCATTTTAATGGCCCTTTTGTCCCATGTTGTCTTTCTCTCTAGGACAACAAAAGTGTAAGATCTGAATATGGAGAAGAACAAAGAGGAGAAAGTGAAATGAAGGATTTCAATAGATTGGAGAGAAGCAAACGTGATGGTCAGAAAAAAGGAAATGTGTGATGTGGAAGAAAAAAATGGCAGAAGTACAAGCTGTTGGACACATCAAGAGCATGCTGACACATGTCCTTATATGTCCAAGATTCACAGGTGTTGCTGGGGGCTTGACAGCTGAGAGCTGTGTTGGTAAACTTGCATTTGGAGAGGGATTAACCCAGGACACAGCAGTACCAGAGAGGAACACTCCCTCAGGCTGGCCTGTGCTGCCTCTAAGACCAATGCAGAAGCTGCCTTGGGATTTCATGACTGATTTGAGTCCTCATGGTTGCAAGAAAACTCTGTTCCTAAGCTGCTCCAGCTGCAAACTTTAATAGTAATTGTTGCATGCGTCTCATCAATGACATTTATCAGCCTGGAAAATTAAGAGATCAGGAAAACAGACAATGCCATGCTATTCTGGGTCTTCCCCCTTAACATGGAGGGTCACCAATGCCAGCCACAATGAATACAGGGAAGAAAATTTGGGCAGCTGCAACCAGACTGATTTTCACCCACTAAAAGTATTATGTTGGATACCACAAGAGCAGTTTACTTGAACTCATCACAGTTGGAAATAGATCTGTCCTTCAGGAAGCAAAACTACAACAAAAGAGTGGGGGCTTTGTTGCTTCTTTATCCTTGGCAGACTCTTACTGTTGGATGTTTTCAGGCACTCCAGAATAACCAATTTCTTTCATGTGGTGAAGCCTGGTACTAAGAGTTTCCTGTTCCCACTATAACCACTTGATTTGAATTAACTCTGATGGTTTTGCCTAAATTGTTTTAATTTTATTTTTTTTTCAGCAAAATGGTTGGACTATTTCCAAAGCAGAAGCTGTTGTTTGTGATTTTATGCTTACAAGATCCTTTCACAAGCAACTCCAAACCCCATGCTCTGGAGCAATGACCTGGTATTTGTCTGACACAGTCTTAACATCTGAAGAGTAAAAAACTTGTGTAAAAAATTACCCTAATTATGGGTAACTTGGGGTGTGGGAAAAAGAAACTGCAAAAGCAAAATCCTCTTTTAACAGGTCACACAAGGTCCATAGAAGTATCATTACAATTTCACATCCCCAGAACTCACCCATGTTTGGCATGTTCCTGCTTTTTCTGATACTCTGGTGGGAAAACACAAAGGACCCTGGTGAGGGTCTGTATCCAACTGACAGCTAGGTAGGAAAGAAAGAGATTTTACTTACCAGAAGGTAACACTGTGCTACACGCTCAACACCCTGTGCAGAAATGGATCAGATGTGTATTTAATGCCTTTTACAAACACCTGTAAAGCCAGTTCTGTAATTATGATATTAAGAAATTACTGGTATTTAATTCTCCCTGGTTCCAGGATATATTTCCAGCAACACAGGAGTTAAACAGGAAGCAACTGAGCTGAAAACAGGGACCAGTTTCTTGGATGCAAGACAATAAACTACAGAGGGAGATGTGGCTACACGGAGAGATCCCATGATCTGGACTTGGAGAGAGTGTCAGAGAGAAAATAAAAGAAATAATAATGAATTGTAGCAGTTGGGTTTTTCAGACTTCATGCAATCATTAACTCATGAGATTAAGTTGACAAAGTCCAGGCAATGACAGTATAGGTAAAGAAAAGAGCACAGGGGAACATGTAGCCAGGTAAAGGAGAAAGAAATTCACTCTGGAGAAAGTCCCTGTTGGCCATGAAGCATCAACCTGCTCTGGTGCCCACCTTCAGACAGCTACTTCTGAGAATCTGCTGAGAAACTGAGCACAGCAGTGGAAGGTTACAGAGGCCATAGGTCAGACTCCTTTGCCAGCCACTGGAACAAGAAGGTTTCACATACTGCTTTAAGGGTCCTGAACAAGGAGCCTGAAGAACCTTTGAACTGCAGTACTAGTATAGATAAATGAACTACTGGTTGGCTGTCCTGGGAATGTCTACCCTGAATGTATAACTCTGTGTTAAGGGAATTTGATAGCATTAATTCTGGATTAACTGCTATCTCTTTTTTTTCACCCACAGCTGCAGAAGTAAAGTTCTGACCTCGGTGCACAGATGGAGTGAAGAACCTCACCAGTGGGCTCCTGGAGAATGCTGGTGTCTCTTCCCACAGTAAAGCTCTTCTCCTCCTCTTTCCCTGACCCAATGGTGAACTTTCTATTGGATTAACAGTACTTCAGTGGCATGTGGTTAATGGATTTGCACACATTGTCAAGAGAGGCATGTGCAAGTCAGTAGAAGAGAAGAACAGTATTGATGGGCTGATAATCTCTAAAAACAGGAAGGAAAGATTCATCTGTAAAAATACAATATGTTTGGAGCTGAACTCAGTAGAAGATTCTATTTTTACTTTATCACCTTTTATGGTTCCACAGGTAAAAGTCTGCTTTTTTTGCAGAAACACCTGCAAAAAATATTTGGATTCAATCACCATTTGTCCATGACTATTGAAAGAAGGTAGAGTGATGGAGAACAGTGTGGTAGGAACTATGGATTTATATGGAACATAATAGAGAGAACTGCATAATAACTGATTGGTTGGCTCAATAACTGGCCAGGAAAAATAGAAAGGGGGAGAAGAGAATCTACTTAAGATTGGCCTAAAATTATTTTCAGTTATTCCTACCAAAATGGAAGAAAAAAAACTTACAAACTTGAGAATATCAGTCCAAAATAGAAGCCTGGAGCTGACTTCCAAACTACAGCTGCTGGGCAGAGCTGCAGCACTGCCAGTTCTTTGGCTTCTTGCCTAATGGTGACAAGAAAGAATTTATATCAAAACCCATTGCTAATACAAGTCATATTTTAAACATTTGATCAGCATTAAGCTTTGACTTCTCAAGAACTGACAAGTAATCCACGGTCTGTCCCAACAAACTTGGTGTCATTGAAAACATTCTAGGCTAATTATACCAACAATGTTACCAGCGTAATTTCTGTCATGCCAAGAGTTATATTAAAAAGAAACCCATACACCATTTGGAACAAGAAACATATGTAAATGATTTAGACATACACAATTGTTTGGGGGCGGTTTATTTCATTTTGTCATGTTTTTAATTATGAATCCACAGGAGATCAATGAAAGTATCAAAATCATCATAATGAAATATTTAACCTCCTAGCTGGCTCAAGCAACAGTCATGACAAGATGCTGCCACATCCAATCCCTGTGAAGAAACCAAATGGTAAACAGACACTACATTGCTTGTCAGGCTGCAGCCTCCTCCTCTGAAACCAAATGCCCATAGAGACAAGGCAGAATGAACTGGCTGTTATGATCATTTATATAAAATAACTGAATATTAAAATGAGAGATGATTGTGCTTTACAATTTGCAGTCACTTGTCCTTCAACTCAGCTTTTCACTTGAATATCAAAACCTTATTAAAAGCATTATTAAATGAGGTCTTGGACCACTCCAACATGAAAGACATCTTAAAATCCTTCACTTCTCAAGTAAGGAAGCTCAAAGCAGACAGACTGGCTCTAAAATTAATTTGTTTCAACTTATGTGGCACATGGGCTACTTCTAAGGGCTCCAACAAAACATCAGTACATTGTGTGGTTTTGAATTATTTTGACCCAATTCATCTTTTCCCAGGTCTTAAAAATAACAACACAGCATGCAATTTGGAGTTGGAAAATGAAAGCATCTGCCATTAACACTGACCCATTCTTCCCAGAGTTTTACTTGCCCCTTCCAAGTCTTGTCAAGGGCTGAGCCTGGGACAAGAGAATGCTGATATCCTGCATATTCTTTCCCACCCCTATTTCCTCATCCCCACTTATGTTCACTTGCCTTGTACTGTAAACAATTAACCAAACTGGTCTAGAAAAATTAAACTGGAGGACTGGAAATGGCCATGCAACAAAATGACAGTTTGCTTTTTTACCTGCTACGATAAAATCAAAAATTCAAGTAGAGTCTTAAGGAAGTAAGTACTTTAAGTAATGTGAATTACTGAATAAAGCTGCATTTATATAAAATAATGCTTCTAATCACTTCTTACTACTAAAGGTTTTCAATATTAATTCTGAAGTGGGACCTGCCTTTTAAAGGATGCTGTGCACCACATAAGCAGTGGATGGCACACATGCACACACACCTCTTTGTACCCATGTATGTCTTGAAGCACACTCTTGCTTTCTTGGAAAGGAATAGTGGTGAGACAGGACCAACCTGACAACAGTGTATGAATCGACACCACAGCAACAGTGACAGCTTCACACTGGCACACAGACAGTAGTCCAGTGGTACTACATCACTACATCAGTGATGCTGAAGTCACAGCATCACTCTCACAACAGAATACAGAGGAAAAGTTGTGGTTGTACACATTCACCAAGAGGCATTTTTGCTTTGGTAACAAACCCTCGCTTTAGTGTTCCTCATTATATCGAGCCTGTGGGGCAAGACTGCAGAGGAGCTGTGAGCCCAGGCTCAGCTCTGCAACAACTTTTCCATTCACACATGGGACAAAAATCATATCAAAAGACAAATCAGGGAAGGTCCAGGATATCCTAATTGAAAGCATCTCTGAGACTGCTTGGCAAATGTGTGTTCTTGCTCTCTCTTCTGACAAGAGAGCACATTCCTGGAGGCTTTGGCAAGTTCAGTGTCCCTGTACAGACACCACTACCATCACCATATTTACAACACACACATACTCCCAGGGCAGATTACCCCCTTCCCAGTACCAAGGAGATGGTACTTCTCACCCAGGATTCACACAGCACTGACCTGGTCCTGACTAACACTTGCCCTTGACTGTCATTAACTTCAAAGAAGACTTGAGGCACACTGTTGGGGCATTTCAATCTGGACATGTAGGTTTTTAGAAGCCTTTGTCCATGTACTGAGCCTTTCCTTATTGTAGGACTGGCACCTTTAGGAGCCTCTTGTTCTGTGGGGCAGCACCTGGATGTCTTCTACTGTCTTTACCTTCTCTGTACTTTCGGCTTTCTCCATCTTTTCAGTAATGCCCAGTGCTAATCTTCCTTTGTTCCAATGTGACCAAAGGATGGCTCTTCTCCTCTTAACTTGGTCATTGTGCTGCAGATTCTTCATGAGGAAAAGCGGAGAAGTGAGTGAAGTGCTGCAGGTGGGTGCTAAAAGGGCACCAGGTACCCTGTTGGACTCCCATTCAATGCAGTGTCTTCCTCAGTGTGTGATTGCTTGGATTTCATTTCCATCAGACGCTTCCCTCAGCCCCTCTCTTTCCCTCCACACTGAGGGTGGAGACCTGTAGGAACAGGAGGGCTCTGCCCAGGGGTCCTGGGCAGGTAAAAGGAGACAAGAGACAAAAAATAACAAAAGGATATTGAGAAATCTCTAAATAACAAGGAAACAAGCAACAAATGCATTGTCATGGCCTGAAGCCCACAAAACAGGGCTTTCAGTAACCAGAAGCACTGGGAATATTCATAGGTGTCCTGGTTTAGGGCAAATTTGGGACCCCCAAATGGGGTCCCTCCAGAAAACAAATTCAAGCAGCCCCTCCCCCAGCTGATTTGGGAAAAAAACCTGTTTATTTAACAGAATTTGAATAATATTAAACAATAAAACCTCTCGCTGTTTGATGAGATGGCAAGTCCAGGAAAAAGTCCTTTTCATGTGGTGTAGCTCGGCTCGCTCAGGTTCTTATCAGTCCCTCCAGGGCTGGAAAGTGCCAAGGCCCAGGCCCTGGTGGGCCACAGGCGTGAGCTCCCAGAGATTGTCTGGGTTTTCTGTCCAGGGCAGGTTTGAACAGATCCAAGAAAAAGGGAAAAAAAAAAAACAGTCCAGGGAGCTTCTCTGCCTCAGCTAGCTACAACCTAACTAAAAGCAAAGGAGAGCTCTGTCCCGCTGTCTGTCCATGCTGCAGACACCACAGTCCAGGAGCAGGATGCGGAGCAGCGAGTGTTTTTCCTCAACACAAACTGCACGCTTCTTCTTCCCCCCTTCGCTCTCAGAGCCAGTCTTAAAGGTGAAGAACTTAATATGCAACATAAACAAGGTGACTGGGGATACAAGCATCATAAAGTCACTGCAGGACAATAGGCTGCAAAAAAAACTTTCGTGAACATTGATACTTACCTCTATTTTGATATTTTTGGGTCCTTATGTCTGAGCTGATTTGTTCATTCTGAATTCAGCTGTTGGCCAGTCAAGCAAAAGGAGGAGAGAAAACCATGGTCCTGTAAAAAAAGAGAAACTACATTCCCAGTTTTTCCAATGCAACAGAGGCAGTAGGATTCAGTGCAGAAGTATACTACTAATACCCAGTACCAAATCAGCACTCAAATATCTTCAGTTAAAGTACTTTTATTATTTTTAAAAAGGGGTGGAGAGTATGATTTTAATTTCCAGGATCCACTCAAGTTCAGAACAAACATCTTCTCAGTAAAAGATAATGTTAAAGTTCTGTCTTGTTCAACAGTCTCATCTAGAGTGAAAAATACCTTTCTCATGCACATCTCTATGTTTGTTCTCCACCTGGCACTACACAAGATTTAAAAACTCTTTCCAAGTTCATTGTGCATATTGTATGACAGGTGTTTGCAGGGAAAACCAAAATAACTTCATATGTGTCAACCCTTCCCATAAGCACTTACACCACATCAGCTTCAGATGATGTTGAGTTTTATATTCTGCCAAGGCACAGATGGACAGAGCACACCTGCAGTCTTTAGTGGGTATGCTTTTTGAATATCTTGGGACAGCTTTGGTTCATTTGTGTCTGGTTCTTATGTCTAAGATAGCCTCAGGATCTTAAGCAAATGCCTATTAAACCATCTCTTCAGGTAGCAAGTGATGAGTGCCAATGTACATTAGATTGTGGGATATTATATCACAAAGATTTACATATTAACTCCAGACTTGAGTTATATTATATTGGAGTAGTACTTAGAGTCATGCTGCATGACTTACCTGAAATTGCCAAGGTGAAATTTGAATTGAGACTCCTAATTAATTAACTTTCTACATTTTTAAATCAATTGCAAGTTTGAAAAAATCAAGGCAAGGTAAGATTTTATGAAATAACTGTTTAAAATAGTCTCTGGGGTTTTGTGCTTCATTTCTGATGACTAGGCCCAAAACTAGATTTTTACCTGGTCTTCACATCAACATTTTTATCTGATCATCTTCCATCAGTTGCTATGTGTTACTTACATACTTGCACGCACTTTGTTTCAACACTTCCATCAAAATCTTCCATCACTGGGAGACTATTTCTCTTTTATTGGTGTTCCAATCCAAATCAATGTCCCAGGAAGAGATCCAGCTCACACTCTCTGTGTCCCCATTTCTGCTCCTCACAGAAGCCATATAACATTAAGTCTTCAAATGCTCAGCATTTGCACTGAGTACATTTGAATGGATACTGTGATATACAGTTCCCTGCACAGCACATCACATTGATTTTGTCAGCAGTTACTTCTGATGCCAAGCAGAGAGCTGACTGATCTAAGCTCCATATCATAGAAACTTGATGTCCCTTTTCATTCTTGCATTTGAATGACTTCTACTTCTGGATCAGCCTGGCACGTCTTTGGGCATCCCCAGATCAAGTCTTTCAGTTCTGTACTAAAATGAGGCAGCCTCTCTCTCTTCAGGACTTGCCACCACAGTGTGGGATAGAATTATTTCCTTTGATGATCTTCTTGTAGGAAATTCCCAGTCAGTAAGATGTGAAACAACAAAAACAAGACAATGAAAATATAACTACATTCACCTTTAGCCAAATAACCTCTAGACTCATAACGAGTCAACGATCTCCTGGTACAGCAAAAAGGAAGTTAATAAATGAGGGCCATTGAAAGGATCAATAACAGAATATAGGGAAGAGAATGGTGTTAGTCATCACTTTGATGTTGAAATATTCTTATACTTTTCTCTAACGCTTCCAAGAAACACCTATTTTGCTGGTACTGAAGACCATGCAGAAGCCATCTGCATTATGAAAGACTTTATAAACAGAAGCCTGAAATAGTTCTCTTCTCATCACCTTTCATTCATGAGAAAACCATAGGACAGAAGCATTTGTGTGTTTCATCACAGCCATCAGCTGTATATTGCTGTAGTCAGGGAAGTTTGCCCTTGCCTCTAGTCTGTCAGTGTGTTCCATTTATCCCACATAGGGTCACTTGAGCTTATTTCTTGCTTTTCATCTCCTTTCCTTACTTGAAACTAAAGCAAAGTGACAGGTACATAGATACTAAACAGCATGACTGAGCTGGATCTCCAAAGGACTCAGACATTCTGACAGTGTTTTTTTAATTGAGTCATCTTCTTTGAAGATGCAGCCACCTGAGAATAAGCCTTTGATTTCACCATGTGTGTTCTTGGAGGTGGCACAGCCTTTGCTTCTATATAGCCCTAAGCAAGAACCCACATATAGTGATGCTGCAGGAAATTATATTTGTGACTCACAGCTTTTCCACAGCCTCCAAAACACTTCACAGTTTGGTGACCTCAGATGGGCACAGCACTTGGTTTGGAAATGGGGTTTTTGGACCTGGGACAATACTCTCTGGCTAGGACTTCTCCAAATGGCCCGGAGGTCAGGTACAATACCAGGTGGCTAATGGGGAGTCTCATTCTGAATTATGGGGCTCTCCCACATCAGAACATGTAAGGTTCAGGAGTTGGATTTAAAATCCTTGATACTCTTCATACTTTCCATAAAGAAAGCTTTCAGAAGAGTTTTTGGCAAAGTTTAAAAAAAAAAAATCCTATAATGATACCAGCCACTTGAGGTAGAGAAAAAGCATCATTGCTGTGGTTACACAGCTCCCTAAATTCCTGCAGACTGTGGCTAGGAAGAACTGCACAGTTGCTTATTTGTCCCTAAGACTTAGCTCCTCACTTGCAATTAGAAGCTATTTTTAGAAACTTCCTACACAAAGGCAAATGAAGAACTCAAAAAACCCAAAAAATAATTATCATCCCACTTACCTGTGCCATTTAAGCCTTCCATAAGTCTGTTCGCCCCTTACCATGGAGGTAAGCCATAGGTGAGTTTGGGATGCCTTTGGAGATTTGATAAGGTGGGAAAATGGAGAAGAAGTGCCATTTCTCAAGTAGATTCAAGCAAGACCAAATATTTGTTGCTATAAATTGAGGTACAGCAATTGATTTCAGTCAGTAGCCAACAGTCATGGGGTAAAAGTTGCCACTGTTGTCCAGTCCAGGACCCACCTGCCATTATTCCTGAGGCCTGTACTGAGCTGAAAACAGAGGAATGCAAGATAGGGGATGAGGAAGAAAAATATAACACACAATCGTTTGCATTATATCACACATGCTTGTGCTGACTTCAGAGTCACTTAATGAAGCCTTGGCTGATAGGTCTGTGACCCCAGCAATAGCTCTCCTCCAGTATGAGGCACAATGCTGAGCCCTTTACACCACAGGCTCTTTCATATGTGTATAATGGTTCTAAGTTGAATAGGCCCCCAACAGACATTAAAAAGCACTTGATAATTAAAGTACAAATGATGCTCCACATTCCTCCACTTCACAGTCCTACACTGCCCATTCTGCCAGCCATAAGCTTAGTTCCCAGCTCATGCTTATGAGTCCCATATCTCTATTTTTCAGCATACTGCTCACATTAATTTTACAAGATCTCTGTATAGGTCTGAAAGCTGGCCTATGTTGAATCACATTAATAGGCCAACAGCACATACAGCTCAATTTTTTTTAAGCTCAGACATGTGTTTCTGTGTCTGTTTGCCCTCTTACCCTCTTCATTTCTTAATATGCTGCAATTAAATGAATGAGTGAGACTTCCATATTCCCAGCTCTGCAATTTTAACTGCAGGACTTCACTACACTGACTTCACCAGCTTGCTCTATTGCCTGGTCATAAAGGTCTGCTCATGAATCCAATCTGAAACCCTGGTAGTTTGTTCCTTACCACTTTCACTTATATGATCTATAAAATCACAAATGTAAATGAAAAAGAAAAAAAAATTTTAAAAGCAGCTGTTTTGAGACCTTTGAAATATCTGAAATGTATCTTACAAGGAGCAAATGCTTTTTGCAGAAAAACCTAGAAACCCGAACAGACATTTGGCAGTCTTCTGTCAACTAGCCAGGCACTGGCGAAGCACGTACAAGGAATACCCATCTGAGCAGAATTTCATTTACTAGTAAACTTTGTTTTTACTAAGGAGGAAAAAGAGAACCTGAGAAAGAGTTAAGAATTTCCTTGTCTCATTACTGCTGACCTTCCATTAGTCACTGAAAATGAAACAGCTTGTAATGGGATCTTGTGGTTTCCATGGCTCTAGAAAAGCCATTTTTACAAGGTTGCTGCTTGATGACTCTGATGAGTCACACCTCATGAAAAAAAAAAAGGCAGATTTGAGAGCAGCCAGTTCCAGCAGTCAGGGAGATATGAATGGTCCCCAGACTCCTGTGTCAGGGAGGAGCACTGTCAAAGTCTTGGGAACAGGTCCACCCTGGTTTCAGAGGGCCAGCACAGCACTGTTGGGGATGCTGCCAATACATGCTCACTCAGTGCCAGGGAGCACAAGTGGAGCCATGTTCACAGAAATGTTGAGGAGGAACAGAGAGGCAGCTTCTCAGCAAACACTTGGATTTTTGCAAGCAGTTGTATCAGACAGCATAACAGCCATCATAAAATTAGGCTTTTCTCTCTCTTATTATGGTTTACTAGCACCCACAGTAAATTATTGACACATAGAATCATTTAAGGTAGAAAAGACATCTAAGAAGAAGTACAGCCATTAAGCCATTAAGCCATGTCTAAAGCATGTCCCTAAGCACCAATCTACATTTCTTTTAAATACCTCCAGGGATGGTGACTCAACCACTTCCCTGGACAGCTTTTTCCAATGCCTGACCCTTCACCAGCTTCATTGCCCAAATGAAGGCATTGCCCAAACCTTCATTGCCCAGTGCCTCATACACAGAAAAAATAAAGCATCCAGAAGAAAGTAAAAAGGGCAAAAAGCAACTCCCCCTGTTTCCACCATGACTAAAATAATTTCAGAACCATCATATTACCTTAAAGGTTTTGGATAACCTACATACAAGCTATTTTGCATGTACTGCACACATTAACTGATGTGATAATGTTCACTTGCAGTTGCTCTATGTTCAGTGTACCTACCTGCAATATTTACTAATAATTTCTTTTTAGGAGGAACTTAATACAGTAATACTCCAATGATATATGTGAAAGAGGCCTTGAGCTATTTAATATTACAGAATATTTAAAATACTTTTATACAAATCAGCCACTTGAATTCAAACAATTTCTGTGATGACTGCAGCAGAAATAATATTCCTCCAACTTCAAGAATGGCAATAAGAAAATATGAGGAACTACAGACTGGTCAACTTCACCTTAGTCTCTAGGAAGATGATGGAGGCAACTGTCCTGAAAAGCATTTCCAAACACCTGGAGGGTAAGAAAGTGATTGGCAACAGCTGGCATGGATTTACAAAGGAATAATCTTGTTTAATCAACCTAAGTAACCTTCTACAATGTCGTACATTTCCGTTGTATGTCTGAATTCAGTTTGGCACTCCTTGCTCATGCAAGGTTTCCTGCCACTTTTGCTTGATTTCCTGTGCTTTCAGATGGTCCTTTCCTGAGCACTCATCACTCCTGGACTTCTTTTCTCTCTGCAGCCATATTCCATAGGATTCTTCTAAGCAAATCATTGAAAGGATTTTTATGAATGAATATTATGAGATCACTTAAAGAATCATTGGCAAAGGTATAAGCAACAGCACAACAAATTTTGTTGGCAAGATTCACTCTGCCACTTACTAAATGGCTAAGGCACACTGAGGAAAAGCAACTAACTAAAATCCCTAGTCAATCAATCCAAGTGTGTAAGAGTGTGTGTGTGTGTGTGTGTTTGTGAAAAAGGAATAGAAAGGGTAAGGATAAAAAGGAATATGGTCAGAAAGTCCTGGTATCACTTAACAGCATTTCAATTTAGCAGCACTTAACATTTACCTTAACTTAAACTTAACACTTCAACAATGGAATAATATAGGATGTACTGTATCACAACAGCAACTTAGTTACAGGCCTAACTTACTTATATATCTGAAGTACTTAAGGATCTAAGAGAGCAATGTTTCTCCCATATTTGATGTAGCATACGCACATCAGTTGCATGCACACAGACGTAAGGAGCCTGTACAGGGTACCTCTAAAAAATATTTCTCAAAGGTAGTGAAATACTTTGGAAACCTTTGCATCTTTTGACTTTTTTCAACTAAGAGTCAAGACTCAAGGAGTGGGCTCCAGGATCTGTCCTTGTCTGGCAATCCTCTGAGTGCAGTAAACCTGAGAGGCCCCACTCAGAGGGAGGTTGCTGGTCACAGCCCTTTGCTGTCCAGGAGAGCTCAAAGGGTCTCCTTTTGGACGCAGTTAATAAGACCACATGAGAGTGGGCTTTAGTCATAACTGTGCTTCATCCTGGCTGCACTTCAGCTCAGAAATTTTCTTTGAAAGTGTGAGAACAAGAATGTTATGCCATTCAGGCAAAAAACAAATAAACAAACAAATTTCCAAGGCTGCTCATAAAATAAAAAAGCAGGGGCTGGTTAGAGAGCACAAGTTCTGGAAGCAGAAAGTGTTTCTGATAAGCTCAAGAGGACCTGACCCCAGGTGCTCTTTGTCAAGGTCAAGGCCTAATGAGCATTACTTTGATCACACTGTGGTGTGAAAAATAGGGGGGGGAGGTGTATTTTGCTCTCCTGAAATCCAGGGCTGTGATCCTGCTTTTTGGCTGCTCCCTCCTCTTAGCTTCGTCAACTCCACAGCCCCATGGTCACTGCAGCCATGGCTGCCTCTGGCCCTCGTGTCACCAGCCAGCTCTTCCTTGTTCATAGAATCAGGTACAGCAAAGAACCTTTTCTTTTCACTTTTTGATCACTTGTTTGTACAGCATTATATCTTTGCTCAATACTGCTCTGCATCGATGGAAATCTCCCTGTGAACATTGTTTGAAGTTTGCAGCATTGACAGTGAAAGCTGTTCTCAGCAGGCATGAGTGCCAGGAAGCCACATGCTGCTCCACTTTGTTTCCTTACTGTAGCAGCATAACTCTTAAAAATCAGACTTTTGGCACAAATAACGATAATCACACTGACAGGATATTCTATCATCAGTGTTTAAAATGTGATATTTAGTGAAAACTGTGTTGGATGTATCTTTATAATTATTCACACAAAAAAAAAATCAGATAGAAGCGTTAAGGCACCAATTCATAAAAACACTGTATATTCCCTTTGAGCTCTTTTTTATACCAACCTGAGTTTGGCAAAATATTAGCATGCATTAGCATGCATGTTTGGCAAAAGTTAGCATGCTCAAGCCCTCTGTCTAATGTAAGGTTAATTCTCATAGAAGTTAAAACTAATGCTTTACCATCCTCCTTATTCTCTACAGTGAGATTCTAAACACTCTTTAAAATATCACCTCTGCAGCACTGTCAACAGAAAGCAATAATTTTGGCTGCCCAAACTGAAATACCTAAGAGAGCCTTTGTTTCCAAGGATAGGTGTTTAAAACTCTTTGAACACAAGACAGTTTTAAAGGCACCTAAACTGGAATTCCAAAAAAACAAAGGCAAGGAAAATCATTAATTGGCTAGTAAAAGCAGTCTGTAACTTAAGAATTGCCTGATTTTTAATGGTTGAAAATTGGAATCTTAATGTTATACTAATGTTATACATGTTTTTACATTTTCAGTAGAAACAGATGGAATGATGTTGCTCATGTAATGCCAACACATTGTTGTTACATAGTCTTTATTAAAATTGCTCCAAGACAAAAAAAAAACTGTATGCACAAAGGTAAGGGGTGAGGAAAGTTGGCAACTGCATTGGATATTCAGGCTTGAGTCCTTTAACTCTGAGCCAACCCTGTGCTTCATTGAGAAATCCCCACAGCTTCATTAAGGGTGAAGTGGAAGGGAAGCTGGGTGCAGGGTACTGAGTGAACTGTGTCCATGAGACTCTTGTCCTGCCAAAAGCAGTGGAGACACACAAATAAAAAGGAACAACAGAAGGGGTAACATGTACAAAATTAAGAAAACCAAGCTTCCCAAATTAAAGCAGCAGAGAGGAGTACAAGAAGAATGAGATTTAAAGGACATTATTGAATTGAGAATTATCATCATCTTATCTTTAAATCCAGGAAAAGCCCCAAACTTTCCTTCCCTATCTTGCTTAG